ACGAGCATAATCTGCACATAGTTAAAGCCTTCAAATACTTGTTGCCTAAATGAATAAATAAATCAAATACTTAATAGATGAAGGTGGAGACAGTCTTCTCTTTTGAGCATTGCCATCTTCATCTATTGTCTACCTCTCTGTCTCTAGCAGTGCCGTTGAGAGGGATCTTTCAGAGAGGGAATAGCTGACAAATGCAAACAAGGGAACCACTCACCTGTGGTCATAAAGTAGCTAGGACATCTTTTCCAAAGGCAATTTTTTTTCTCAAGACAACACACGCTATCTGTTACTCAAAAGTGAACTCTGCTAGCATATCTGCAGTGATCAATCTCACATGCACTGCCATATGTTCATATGGCTAATGGTGGAAGAAATGTCTCATTACATAAAGCAAAAAAGGAAATATTTATTGAGCATCTACTACATCCAGGCATATTATAAATGTTTTACATGCATTATCTCTAAACCTTGCACCGAGCCTGAAAAGTAGATAATAATATTCCACTTTTTACAAATTGAGGAAACTGGGCTTCCCAAAAGTTAAGTTGCTCAGGGTCAAAAATATTTACTTCAGTCTTCAAATCCAGCTCATTTTTACTCAAAAGTCTGTGTTCTTTCTATTATGCCACAATGTCTCGCTAATCAACTATTTCACAGACTATCTTCTATGTACAGAGTACTATGTTAAGATATGATAAAATATGGGTGATAAGGATGATATGGAGGATCAGATAAGGTATGGATGTTATCTAGCCTACCTAGAATACAAGTTCGAATATGATAAGTACATTAAGAGAGTACAGACGTCATGCAGTGTGTGTTCTAAACCTGGAAAGATCATGGCGGGAGATCAAGAATGCCCATATGGAGGGGATCCCAGGAATAGAACTGGTCCTCCAATGAATAAGCAGGATTTCTGAAAAATGAAATATATTTAAGAATGCTCCAGACAAAGAGATACAAAATTAAAAACAATGATGAGCTATATCCTGAGACTGGCATATAGTTCAGATTGACTGAAGTGTGCTCAATGAGTCAGTGAGTAGTGGAATATACAAGGATAAGTTAGATTTGAAATTGGAGGAACTTTAGTGTCAGGAGGAGTCTGAACTGTATCCCATAGGCAATAGAGAGTATCAAAATTGTTACCAAAACTGGAGAGTGATAGGATTAGAAGTGTTTTAGAAAAGTTAACTTTGACCAGCATACAAAATAAAATTACAAAGAGGTGGAAACTGGAGAAGGGAAAAATCAATTGGAAAACAACCCTAATAATAACTTAGATTATTAATAAAATACTTAGATAAGTAAATACTTGTCTTTCTTACTTTACAGAGGGAGAAACTGAGGCAGAGGAAGATTTTAAATAAGTTGTCAGGTGAGAACGTCAGTTAACAATTAGTATGGAAAAATAAAGAAGAGTTAAGTATTCAGTTAAAATATTCATACGAAGAAAAAAGGGAAAAGAGTCAATAAAATGTTCATTAAAATGTCTTGTTTATTCTTCACGGGAAGTAACTCACTTTTTTTTTTCAAGTTCTTCAAAGTTGAGGTAAAACTACTTTTGTCTTCTGGACAATACAGGAGAATTATAAAAAACAATGAGATTTTAAAATATCTATAGTTAAGCCTCCTTATGTGCTCTCTTAGCATTGTATACTCTCAGTCCCTGGATATAGATCTCTAATGAAAATGTGTAATTTATTAAACAAGTTTTAATCATTTAATTACTATTGGATCCATTTAAGGCAATCGTATTTCCAAAAAGAGTCTTAAAAGTGTTGAGTCAACCTAAATTAATGGTCAAATTTTCCATTATAAGACACCAAAAGTGCTAAATCAATGGTCATTAAGCAAATAACAGACAATTGTCCCCTAACTAAACAAACATTTAAATTTTACATTTAAAGTATCGTTTCATTAATGAGAAATGATAGAACTCTATCGAATTACAGCAAAAGAAAAACTGCAGGTTACCAATAACACAATAAAGAAAAAGTAACAGGTACTAAAGGAGACCATGCAAAGATGAAGGTTTGCTTTCTTCTTGCCACTTTGAATTTGTAACTAAGTGCTTTTCCTAAAATGCGAGATCATCAGTGATGTGAAAAGATAACACACACATTCATTATATTACTTAGTATGGGGTCACAGACATGACACTGTTACCTATTACGTGCAAGACACAAATCAGAATATTGGCATGTTTTACAATTTAAGATTTACAGAAATTACAGCAGCAAACTATGTCTTACGCAAATTTGGACTTAAAATCAAAGACAAAAAATAAGGGTTAAGAATTTTATTTTAAATGGTGATAGCCCAATCTGTAATCAACCTATGTTGTGATACGTTTATGTTTTTTGGTGTCTTTTTTATGACAAAAAAAGGAAAAACAAAAATAACTTGCTGCCAAATATGAGTACCAAAGTTCATAAATAAGTATACAAATAAAGCATTTCCATCACCATTATGATTGTTCAATTTTAAAAATGATACATTAATGAAAAATTCAGCTTTACATTTTTATAAGGACTAAAACAAAGAAAAACAGTTGTATAATATTTGAGAATTAAAACATTTTTCTATATCTTTTTAAGCAAATTTTTAAAACTGTGTTAGAGTTAAACACGCACTATATTTTTTGCAAAATACCATAAATAAATACACAGGTCAAAAAAGTCAAACTGTTTAAATATTCACACAGAAATAAAATAGATAAGAACTTATACTTCAGAAAAACACTGTTCATAAATGCAATACATTTTTTTCTTATTGGCTGCCGAGGGAAGAGTATTAACATATGGTTACTCACATTGTTAAAAGGAATGCTATAATATTTGCAATCTAGCACTTCTCATGGTGTAAAGCATTTTTCTTGTCCCTCTTCTGAAAACTATTTCCAGCAGTTTTAGGTGAAGGACCTAATATGATAAAGGCCACAGTGCAGACTACTGTTAGCAGCCGGTTTTGACACTGTTGCTTACGCCATGAAGCTAACAGAAACTTTCATACAGAAAAAACATTTGCTACATTTCAAAATAGGAACTGCACAGCTATTTTCTGCGCTATTAAAACACTTTCTTGGTGGTCTGATACTTGATGTTCTATTAGTAAAGCAAGTTAAATTGTAATTCAAACTATTTATCTTTTAGACATCACTAAACCTTCCAGGAATATTTTGTTTACTATTTATTAATTTATTTTGCAGATTGTGAAAATTATTTCAAGAATGAAAATACCAATTTCTCACACATTTAGACAGTTTTCACACTTTACCTTCCTTTGATACACAAAATTTGCATACAATGTAATCTGACTTATTTCCATTTCATTTGCTATCAGCTCTACCTTTTCTCTCTTCTTCTCCTTCCTTATTCTTTTGCTCATTTTTCTTCCTGTTCTTCCTTCCTCTCTCCCTCTCTTGTTCTCTCTCTAAAAGTTAATAAAATGAGCAGAAATAAAATTCTCAAAAAATAATACTCGGCCAGAATTTAATGGTAATGTTCATCTAAATTAACATAGGAAAACATACTATATAGATAGAGTTAAAGACAGACCTATAGACTGGGGACAGAGGGAAGGAAGAGAGAAAGGAAATGAGGGAAAAAGAGAGGAAGAAAGAGAGTCAACGTTTAAGGGGTGTAGTATTTATGTCTGGAAAGAGACAATATGGCCTGTACTTTTCTTCCCTCTAGAAAGCAAAAGCAAGTTTTGGATACCGAAAAATACTTTCTCTTTTTTCCTTTTAGTCAATTTAATTCTGACTCACTTCTTTTTCAGGATGGAAACTGCATTATGTAAGTGAGAAAGTTATACACAATGAAAGAGCAGTTTCCTCATTTTGTAACTACTATTTTTATAGTGCATGGTGTTTTAATAAGTCTCATTTAGTGGATATCTGAAAATAAAGCTAAAATGTGTACAATAAGGATTCAAGTCCGAATAATGAAATCATCACATTAATTAACTCTATTACGTCATGCCCATACAAACGCTGCAAATATTAAACTAACCATGGAAAGCTTCACTTTCAGTTGAGTTAATGTTAAAAGTAACTTTAATTTCTTTTCAAGACTATAAACAAAATTAGTTTATTGGAAAATCAACTAATATACATGCCAAAATAATTCTAGTAAAAATATTTATTTCTAGAACAGAAAACTCTGAACGTATTTTAAGTGAAACATGAGAAAAATAAACCCTACAGATAGGTGCACTTCATTTTGAATTTGCTAAACCTTTTGACAGCAGTGCTTTAGAAGCAGTCTAATTTTCATTTTGCAATTAGACTTATATGTTGATTGTTGCATATAAATAAATCATACTTCTTTCTCTATGAATACATGGTCTTACTGGACTATCTAAAATATCCAGCCATCTATTACTAAAATTGACAGTTGTCTCTCACAGGCAAGGTCTTATTTTTCAACTAAACATATTTTTGAAATGCTGACTGTAAAAACTAAAAAACTTAAAGCTATTAAAGAAAGGCCACATGTAAGACAAATTGTACAGGCATCACATGATTACAAAGAGAGAGCAAGTACCCTACATAAATACATTCTTTACATATCTCATACCAGAAATTTTACTCTTATAAAAACTTCGCTAATACAAATGAAAAGAATATTGTGGGTCATAGGTATCAATAACAGCAACCCTATAGAGCCATGTAGCATATCACTTACACTTTGGTTAACTACACCTATTTTCACTTACCCTTTAAACACTACTACTTCTTACCAGTAGGCAGCACTATTACATCTTTTACCTGTTACCAATGTTAATGTCACACAATGCCATCTGTAACTTACTACACATTGTCTGACCTTTGCTTGCATTTTAGCCTCATTATTATGGCTCCATGCTATTTATCTCACAGATATTCTTTCCTTCCGAAAAGCAAAATTAGAACTGATAATAAAATATCAGCAATGTCAGGTACAGTATACATGAACATCAAACAGGAAGTGTGTAATTAGTGGACGCTCCTATTTCTTTACTAGTTAATAGTTTATTCCTTTTTATAATTTGAAAGAAACTGCAATTAAGTGTAGTGTGAAAATATTTGATTAAATGAGTTTAGCATTAAAGACTTTTCATTTCTGGTGTTATATATTCACTAAACTATTGCTTTTATAATAAGGATTATATATGGTCCTTGATATTAAAGCATCAACTTTTAATTATCTATATATCTTTTTTCAGAAAAATGAATCAAAGTATAATAAATTGTTTAGAAATCCATACACATAAATTTAAAAAAGAAAATATCATATTAACCACACTTGTAAACAATTTATATTCTACAACTTAATAGTAGGCCACACATTCACTTGACAGAATTCATCCTACTTGAACCAAAATTATTATTTTCTACTTCATCAAAAAGCACTTAAATGTAAAATAGGCCAACATCGAAATATATTAAGAGAAATTCTTTGGTTCCTTCACTAACTAATCAGAGATACACAGAAAAGGACCTTTTAAGTTTAATGATACCTGCTCATTAAATGATGCTAAACACTGAAATACCACGAACAGCAGGGAATTTCAGTTTACATTAGAGAAAAAAAATAAAAGGGTAAAAATGACTGAAGTTGGTCAGTTCAAGCTGATAGGGCACTTCAAATGAATAACAGAAGAATAAAAGAGACACTCTAGGTTAAATTAGGTTCTCCCATTCCTTTTCTTGAAAGTGCTTAACTTCACAAATTTTATTTGAATTAGCTAAACTGCCAAAATCAAAGCAGATATAAAGTTAAACAGGCAACTACACTTCACAGTAGTTTACCTATTATACAACAGATAAAACCTTAATTTTAAAAAGGTGATTTTGGTTTTAAACGCATATATTCCTTTTCTTCATTGAAACAATTGACGTGCTTCATTCCTAAGAAAACCCTGCTCCACAGATTAAATGCATACCAAGCTTCAGATGAATAAGGCTGTTCATACAATTTTAGCCCTTCGTATATACGTGAAAATTTTCTCCTTCCAAACTACTTAATCTAACAGTATGCAACCAATTAGAATTTACTGCACAAGGTTTACTTCACATACTCTTGAAAAAGTAGGACATTTTCCCTTAGTTTGTAACTTTTGACTTAGAATTTTCATTTATCAAAAGCAGATAATTTTTCCTTGCTCAAATCCTATTTTCAAGTTCTTATTCACATTTGCCAAAGGTGGCCTTTCTCTAGGTAAACTGGACTAAATCTTGACAGAATGGTAAAGTAGTAATCATTTCCACACCCCCTCTCCATTTAACACTCCTTTTCCCCTACTCAACTCAATTTTACCCTCCCCTCTACTGTTCACTCTTTTTATGAATAGTGTGACCATTTGAAAAGCCACATACAGTACTAGTGAATTTACACTGCCGTCCAGGGCAAATGGATGTCCATCTTGCAGGATGGCAGAGGAAAGAGGGTCCTTCTTAATACAAAGAATAAGCTGCTGATTAATAAATTATATTGGCTAGAAAGAAGTATTTTGGCTCCCAAAATTCATATGTTGAAATCCTAACCCCCAATGTGATGGTGTTTGGAGGTTGGTCCATTGGGAAGTGATTAGGTAATGAAGGTGGAGCCCTGCATGCAATTAGTGCCCTTATAAAAGACACTACAGAGAGACCCCTCAACCCTTCAGCCATGTGAGGTAACGGTGAGAAGACGGGCATTGATTGAGGAAGCAGGACCTCATCAGACACCTCACCTGTCAGTGCCTTGATTTTAGACTTCCCAGGCTCCAGAACCATGAGAAATAAATCTCTGTTGTTGATAAGCCACCTAGTTTATGGTACTCTGTTATAACAGCTGAATGGCCTGAGACGGCTGTAAATGAGAGGCTCTGAAGAGGCCTCCCTTCTATCAGGCTCCTTCATAAGGCAGATAATTTCTCCGTCACATTGAAATATTTACTGATGTTTTCTAGGGGTTTATAATTACCCTTCATTCAGGCCATATATGTTTATCAATTATGAATTTTAAAATGCAAAAAACAAGTAAGGGTAAGGGTAAACTGTAGTCTCCTATCACTCGCATAGCATATCTCAAAGACTATTCCACAGAACACAAGCTTCCCAAGATGGTCGGCAATAAACAGCCTCCGTGGTAAAAGATATTTAGGTCTCTAGCAGACACACGAAAACTGTTAACTTACAAAGGCTATGAGAACTGTAAAGAACAGTGCTTCCCCTTTTTCATTGTTTAACTATTGAATCTCATATACGCTAAATCTCATATAAATCCCATACATGAGGGTTTGGGGAACATATTTTGCAAGTCTCAGTGAGTCTTAAGAATTCTTTGCAAATGTGCTACTACACAATCTCAGATCAACAATTCTGATGAACAAAAGGCTCTGAGAACCAGAAGGTGTTTCTGTTTGTTTGTTCTAATTCACTTGATAAAATGTGACCTATTTCGAACTCATGCAGCAGTAAAATCCAAACTAAACTGACATGAGGCTATTAGTGTTTGTGTGCATATATTC